GCCAGGAGCATCTGTCAAAAGCTCGCTTCCGGGAACTGTGGACTAACTAACAAAGCACATCTCCATGGCAGTACGAATCTTTGTGAGCAACTACTCTCACTCCTGAAGGGCAAGTCTAAACATCGTTCCCGACTCACTCAAAATGATCCACGGGCGACGCTCAGGATAGCCTCGAAGCGCTCTCTCCTGCCAGATTTGAAAAAAAAGCAAGAAGCTAGGTAATGTCAATGACATTACCGTAGATTCACGTGAGAACGTTTAATGACGATTTTTATGCAAGCGGTCGGCTTTCCGAGGTGTCAAATCATAGCGAATAGACCTATCCCTCTATCGGCCCACTGTAGGATGGAATTGGGTTAGTTTTCATGAAAGCTCGGTTAGAGCCCGCTGATTGCCCGACGGGGCTGCGATATTCAATCATTCTACGAGAGATGGTTTTCGTGGTTCGAAGGCATCGATACCTCTTCTGAATCCCGTCGGCATAATCATCGAAAACTGCGCCAGCTATCGAGTTTCGGAAGTTTTTCCGCTTCACGAATCTAGAATCGAAAGCGACACCTATATACCAATTGTAGTCCTTCGGCTGCCGAAGTAGGAAGTCATTTCGGACCCTCACTGCGGCTTCCTCGACGGATCCGCTAAGGTACGACGATTGGTGAATGTTTTTGGTCTTCAGTTCGACATATAGCGCGTGGTCGTCATCATCCAGGGAACGCAGTTTAGTTTGAGCCTTGCTTTTGACGTGGAGGGGACGTCCATATTCCATAACCGTCCATAACATCATTCGGAACCTAAGCCCCTCATATCAGGTAAATGTCACGTCAATGTCCGGTCAATGTCGGGTGAATGTCAGGTCAACGTCAGGTCAATGTCAGGTCAATGTTAGGTCAATGTCAGGCCAATGTCAGGCCAATGTCAAGTCAATTTCAGGTCAATGTGAGGTCAAGGTCAAGTCAGAAACAATATAGGACATATTTGTCATGTGGACAAAACTTATGCATTACTTATACATATGGCGGGGCAATATGCTTGTGTGGGCGCATTATGATGGGGGTACTATGTTCCCCCAGAGTTAATAATATTTAACGTGGCCTGACACAGTCTCTTGACGAATTAAAATTAATTACCATTGAAATTTTTCGGTTGCGTTAATTAAATTTAACTATCGATATGGAGTATATAAGCTGATCGATTTAAAATTTTTGTTGCTCGTCATCTCCTGACCTCTGAGTCGACGTGAATCATTATTCTAATACGTTTCTTTCGATTGTCTAAAAAAAAAAATGGTGAGTTAAGCTTCCGAACCCGTCTACGGGTAATATGATTCTGATCTACGAGTTCCGAATGATGTTGCCATGGTCGCCTGATCAGACTTACTCAGAACTAAGCGCAATACGATCGATTCCACAGTCGTCTTCATCTAGCTCGAAACGGTGGAATGTAATTATTAAAACCACGAGTAACACGACGGCTGACGTCGACACCGAAAAATCCGCGCTCGTGAAGATTCTAGAGGATTCGGCGGCCGTATCGGCACATCGCTTGGTGTACGACGGTGTGCCTCTGATGAGGCCAGACAATGTGTGTGATTACCCACACCGGCACTTTCATAGTGCAATTGCTTACACTCGGGCCGTCGTAGGCAGCACCTTCTTTGCCGACCTGTTCCCAGGTCGGGAAACGATTGTCCGTGCCATGCGGAGCACCGGACTCCCGAAATGGGACAAACATTTCGATGGGTTGGACGCCGTCGCTGCGCGGACGAATTCAGAAGAAACGCCGAAGGAAGACGACAGCAAGGTCGAATCTAGGCCGGATGTTGATGCCGGGGAAAAAGAAGACTCCTCGATTCCGAGTGGCAGTAGGAAGCGGAGTCGAATTCGGTATGTGGTAAGCCAGCTGAGGACGAAATTCAGGGGGTCAACTCGAAAACAAGTGAGTACCCAGAGAATGCCCGGTCTGCGCCAGCCCTACCTCGGGAACAAGTCGATGCCGGTGTTAACATCTGAGCTACAACGGGGGGTCGTACTGGAAGCGGTCGCCCAGAGCAAAACGGCCGACGAGGCTCTCCAGTTCATTTGGGAGAGTGATATTCTACTCGCCTCGAAGTACTTCGTGTCACTCGAGGCATTCTTAGTCAGATTATATGACAAACATATTGCGCGAATTCCGCATCTTTTAGAAAACCACAATTATCGTGGCCGGTCAGTCCATGACGCGACCCCTGTCGATGTCTTTTCTGAGACGGATAGTGAGGCTGACGAGCCCAGCAAAAAACGTTCGAAAACTACTGCGACGGACTCGGGATTAAATATGGAGTTCCCAGTCGCGGAGGTCATGCAGGCCGAAGAGAATCTGCCGTCTGTTTCGGGCGAAGGCTCAGCTGTTGCCGAAGACGATAACATTTTCGACAACGTAGACACCCCCGTGAAGCGAACGCGGTAGTGATTTTTAAGCCATCAAAATTTGATAATTAATCTGTGTATACACTTGTAACATCAAGTCCGGGTATCCAATTTCTGTAACCGCTTGACAACGTTGAGCGGGAAATATGCGGGGATACCCGGCCCCCAGGGTGGTGGTTGGATTCAGTCAAGGCTCCGGCCTTGACTGAATCTGATGAATCTCTGTTTATGACTTTTTTTCAAACGAAAAAAAAAATAAAGCTTTTTATGAGTCGATCTACTCTTTTCATTTCTCAGGTACTCTGTAAATGCGATTGTTTACAGCTTGTTCGAGTGGATCTTCCTGGCATAGTGGCCGGTGACGTGTCTGTAATTCAGGCCACAGCTACCGTCGTCATCGTGGGATATGAATCTAATTACGGCCTATGCCTTTTTCCATGCAGAGTAGATATGATTTATCGAATTAGAGTTAAAATCGTCAAACCTTATTTATTCCCATTAGGGTCTGCCATTGGCGGTAATAACATTGGTAACGGGTCCGAAATGCTTATTTTTAACTTCGTTCTAAAATCGCGATTCATCGTCATCGAACTTAACGGCTTTCTCAAGTTACTGTTTCCTGTAAATCGGACCGACCTTTAGCATCAACTATGTCGAATGTGGATTTTCGTGAGCCGAGTGCAGGTGATTGATCGTGGAACTGGAAGATGTCATAGTCGTCATTGACAATTCGGTACCCAGAATAGTCTCGGATAGGATTTTATTTTTCAGGCATGTGTGCTTCGACGTTCGAGACGAATCCGGCTAGTATTCCGCTCGATGAGTTTTTGAGATCGAGGTTCCGTGATCTTGGATCATTCCGTGGGCTACAGAAGGAAAGCATCGAAGCGTTACTGTCCGGGAAGAATGTGATGACAATTATGCCGACCGGGGAAGGAAAGTCACTAATTTACACTTTCATTCACCTTTACACACGATCGAATGTATTGGTACTATCGCCGTTACGGTCATTATGTTGCGACCAGGCGGAAAATTCGAGAGTGAGGTATGGGTGCAAAAGCGCTTTCCTTGGCCCAGACAACGGAGGACCCGAATCCAACCGAGAAGTCCTAGATCGTTGTCGTGATGGTGATTCGCACTTGCTGTTCGTTTCCCCGGAGTTCTTCGTTGCGCACTACGACACGTTCCTGGAAATTAATCGAGCGTCCGGTTTTTCATTACTAGTTGTCGATGAAGCTCATGTGGTTTTCGATTGGCAGTATTTCCGGAACTGTTACAGCGAACTATTCTCATACATTGGCGATCGATTCAGTAACTGCCCAACGCTGTTCCTGACCGCGTCTTTAACGATTCGTGAATCGGGAATGGTTCAGAGCCTTCTGCGCTCGGCGTTGCCTTTCGTCGTGTTCCGATCTTCTTGTATTCGACGTAATATTTACATACATGTACGGAATGCGAGAAACCCTGAGGCGGATCTTATCGATTGCATTGACTGTGAAGAGCCGACGCTTGTATACTTCCGATACATCAAAGATATCGAGAAAATCAGTTCCGAGCTCGGAATTCTTCGCATACCTCATGTTGTTTACTATTCGACCCTTCCAACGGCTTTGAAAGTCGAAAATCTGCTTGCGTTTCTGCGAGACGAGATCAGGATTATGCTGACGACATCTGCTATTGGGATGGGCTTTGACAAACGGAACGTCAGGCACGTCGTTCACTACGGGTATCCTAGTAGTATCCGGCATTTTTATCAAGAGATTGGTAGGGCCGGTAGGGATGGCAAAAAATCTAGATCGACTGTTTTTTTATCGACTTTGACTGCGCAGCGACAGCGATTCGTTACAAACATGCTAATGAAACCGGCGCAAGCGTGTTTCGAGACCACGCAATATGCTCTTGTTAAACATATTTTCAACCGCGCCAATTGCGTTTGGCAATCAATAATTTCGGTGTTCGACGGCAGAGAATCCTTCGTTGATTCGTCGGGTAATTGGGATCTTGATCCTTGTTGTTCGATCTGTACATTGTACCGCAAACTTCGAAATACGTCGGTGCCCTTCGACTCTTGCCACCGAGAACTAATTGGCTTTTGCGGGATGTGTCGGACAGTCACCGTACGTTCGCATTAGGAAGATCGAAGTTGGCGCACTGGATGTGTGGGCAAGCCTGGAAAATCGGAAAGCCAGTTTTTAACGGAAGAAATCGGGGGGAAATTTTGGGGCTGTTTACTTCTAGGCGGATGGAGTTGAACAATCGTTGGGATGGTAGTGGTGAGGGGGGGAGCGATCGTGGCCTATCGTACTGGCGCGAGCTCATCGACTACGCGTTATCGGTGGGGCTCCTTGAGCTCTGTTGTAATTCCGCTGCTGCTCCGACTACTGTTCACGGCCCGAGTGTAGGAGGAAACGAGCTCGTAGGATTCGATGAAGCGGGGGTTGAAGTTCCAGCGCTTCCGATTGCACAGAAGAATTTTATTAGCGTACGAATGTCGAATCTGGGGGGGGGGGCGATACTAACTGGCTTGTCCAACGTTGACACCGCGTATGGTCAGTGGAGGTATTCGTCAGCAACGGTTTCCACCGTTGTTGATGAGGACTCGGCTGAACTTCACCCGCCTCCACGGTTTCGGTTCATCACGCAGGAGCGAGGGGAGTTCTTCAGTCAGTCTAGATACCTCGGAATCCTACCGAATAGTACTAGTAGGACATCTATATGGAGCCGGGTGGTTTTAGGTCAAATCATGATCGCTGAATGTAAATATTCGATGTTGTCAGCGACCGCGCCGGACACGGATGGTCTTTCGGAATCGATTGACTATGAGGTGTATAACCAGTTCATTCGTTGTATTTTGAAAATGGCTCAGTCGGATCCTGATTAACCTGACCGACAATATTCGATGTCGAAAGCGTTGGGAAATTTGGTTCTCATGGATAGTGCAACCGGTACGACGGCCCTTCTCAATCTCGTTGACCGGTCCCGGCTAAATGGGTTCGAGAATAACCCGGATCCTCTACTGCGATCAAATTTAACGAATGTTTCGACGCATGCGAGTCTGATAGTTAACGATGTATCTGATCCCAGTATGCACGTCAGCATAAGGAGTCCTCCTCCAGAGAATCGGGAGAACGATGTGGGTGGGCAACACGTAAGCTTCAACTCAGATTGTCATGATTTGGAGTTCTGCTCTGATGCCGACGGGGATGTTTTCAAAGTCAAATTGACTACTCGAGCGTTGATGAGCACGTCGGTTACGAATTTTTTAGCTAGTGTACGCAGGGCTCGACATCTCATCGAAAACCGAGCTTCCAGTTCTCGTTCAACATCAGTGATGTTCTCTGAACGGTTTGTAGAAAAATATGGACGGGAAGACGTCACCAAACTTGAGAGTGGATTTCTCATATTTTGTAATCGATTTATGGTAGATGTTGAGGGTGCAATAGAAGCATCGAAGGATCATACGACGTTGCGCTCACCGTATCAGGGAGTGCGTTTCTGTATTGAGATCGGTGGTGGAGCCGGTGTCAATTTTTATGACTATACGTGCGTTGTTTGTCCCAACAGACGAGGACGAAAGAATTTCAGGAATATCAAAACGGATACTGTAAAAAAAGCTCTTGATTCGTACCGTAAGCATTGGCTGAAGTACCATTCGAGGGATCTCAGCATGAGTCTCACCGGCCGGCCCACCTTTAGTTTCAGTTCGTATGTAGATCATGTAGAGAGGCTGTACTTAGGTTGATAAGGCCACATTAATGACGCAGCCCGGGTATCCATTCCATTTACATCGCTGCTCAGTATTCAACGAGGGTTTGCGGGGATACCCGGCCCTCGGGGTGGTGGTTGGACCCGGGGGTATGGCCGGGGCGATGAAAGCCTCCGGTCATAGCTGGATGGCGGTGATGAAGGAATGAATATGAGGAATCTCTCCACTTTTATGATGTGAATACGGTTTCAGATAAATGAATTTTGCCCCTCACGCGTAATTTCTTACTAGCACTAAGATTGACAATCCCACCAAGCTTCTCAAGACTGTGTAGCTTGCATATGCTTACAGAAGCTTCGTACGAGTTTTCAGAAACTAAGCCCCTCATATGATTGTCATGCCAATATCAGGTGAATGTTTGGTCAATGTCGGTCGATTTCGATCCGTGTCAGGTCAATGTTAGGTCAATGTCGGGTCAATTTCAGATCAGGATGAAAATACGACATTTGTGTCAGGTCAATGTCAGGTCAATTTCAGGTCATTGTCAGATCAGGATGAAAATATGACGTCTGTGTCATGGTGGACAAAACTTATGCATTCACCTATATGGTGGGACTAAGCTTACTGAGCCCTACCAAGCTTATTAAGCATAGTAAGCTTACGTAAGCAAAGCAATAGTTTTCCAAAACTAAGCTCTATAGAGAAAGCTTATGTGTAGGAAAGATTTTTCTAAAGGTCACTAAGCTTGTTAAGATATACTAAGCTTACTAAGCATATGGATCTTACATAAGCTTACATATGCTTAGTATGATGTTTCCGAACCTAAGCCCCTGATATCAGGTAAATGTCCCGTCAATGTCAGGTCAGTGTCTAGTCGAGATGGTGTCATGGTCAATGTCAGATCAGGATGAAAATATGACATCTGGGTCATGGTGGACAAAACTTATGCATTCACCTATATGGTGGGACTAAGCTTACTGAGCCCTACCAAGCTTATTAAGCATAACTTATCATAACTTATGAGTAATCATAAGTTATGATGAGTTTGAGCTGAGTTTAGCTGCTTGAACTTACATTTGTGTCCCCATCGGGGGAACATCAGCCGAGTGTCGTGCAATGGAGGCCTTGACAATCTTCAAATGTCGCAGAAAGCGGAGCCTCCCATCCGTGTTACAAGCATGGCGGTACACGTTTTGGAGGACGACACGCCGGAATGGCTGAGTTTGCGTTCCACTGCAGCAGTGTAGTAAGAATATCGCATGATTTCGTCATCATGATGGAATTCAGATGTCACTGTACCGGATTCGATCGCGACCGCAGCTTTTCTGACCACGGCGATCTTCGGAGCCGGAGTCGACTCTTGATGAGTCGCCCCATGAAGAGATCCTCCCGATGTCAGCCTAAATCTGTTGACACGCGCACTCGCTGAGCTTGAAGGTACTTCGTCGTGCCGCTTCTGTCGCCAGGAGCTCCCTTCGAAGGGTCTCATCCATCTTCGATAAGCTCGATTCGCCTCAAGTCAGGAGAACTACCTGGTTTTCTGGGGAACCTTCGTTGTTCATCCCAGCGAATCATAATCATGATCGAAGCCCGACTCGATCTCGATTTTGGCAGTTTTCATCGAATAATCAGAAGCCCTTAAGTTCTCGCTCTTATATGTCTGCTGCCTTCTGTTCGGCTCTCACTCGCCGACCTCGCCTTATAGAATTCCCTTCGAAAGACTGACGGACTATGTCATAATTCGCGCTTACTTTTAAGCTTCCGAGCCGAATCCAGGGGTATGTGGAAAATCAATTGTAGGAATCGAATGATAGATCTGCCTCGCGAACGATTGCACCATTGCACCTGGAGACTTCGCCGTAAAACATCCCAGTGATGCAGTTCGGCTAATCCGTAGTTTCTGAATTTTTTGGCTCCAAAAGCGGACATGACTTCGATGCTTGAAGGACGAAGAACATCGAATTGGTCTGTAAAGCCTGCGACAAAGACGTTTTCACGTCAAAAGCCTGCGACAAAGACGTTTTCACGTCAAAAGCCTGCGACAAAGACGTTTTCAAGTCAAAAACTAGCGGAGGCTTCGCCCATCGCTCTCAAGGAAAACGTAGGAGTTTCAAATGAATTATTGCCATTGCACAGTCATTCGGTGTCTTGATATCGCATGACAAAAAATTTCATACTGTCGAACATGAGTAGATAATTTTTTCCGAGTTGCGGCCCGCGGCTCTTCGCCGACGAGCCCGTGCGGCCCGTCCGAAATTTTTGGTGAACACCTCTGCTTTACATAGATAAGCTTATTGTAATGACTTATGACTAGGGCTGTAAGAAAGTCGCGGAGGTCGCGGAAGTCGCGGAAACCGCGATTTTTAGCGGTCTCGGTTGATTTCCGCGATAAACGTGAATTTTTCCGCGACTTCCGCGACCTCTATTTTCCGAAGGAAAGAGGTGGATTTATGGAGTTTCGTCAATGACAGCCTCATCGCTAAGGTTTTCCAATAACTTCCCTTCGATCAGGGAGCTCTGGCGGAACAGAATCAGCTCGAATCCGTGATCTCCCTTGACCAGGGTGCGGTCTCCAAGCTATACACATATGTGCATGCCGTCTCGCTTCCGATAAGCGCCATTCGAAATCTTCGCTTGCAAATGATTATATCCTCTCCGAAGGAAGCTTGCAGCGACAGCCAGCTGCCTACGTGCTTCCGTCTGGTGGAATACGTGCCGCGCTCGGTTAGGTTGCCGAAGAGAATGTCACCTCAAAACAGGGCAAAACAGTTCGACCCACGAGTTTTCCATGTGTCGGGTGGCCATCTCTTCTGCCGTAGCTGCAACGTTCCAGTAGATTATAGGCGCATGAGCTCTTTGTGGGTCCGTGCCCGCATCTTAGCCCGGGCAGCATATGCGGACTCGACTAGACCGCATGAATATCTGGTGACATGTTGTAGCAATGCCTCCTAGTCTCAATCTCACTCTACCGTGACATTTCTGAGCGTTGAAACCGACTCGGTGTTCTGAGGAACCTCCCTTCCGACATTTCCGCGAATTCGCAAGCGATTCGATCGATTTCCGCGATTTTCTGTATTTTTTTCCGCGACCGTCCGCGATTCCGGCCATTTTTTTCCGCGAAAAATTTACACCCCTACTTATGACTGAGCTAAGAGACTACTATGACATCCCTTTTTTTCGCTTTACACTTTCTTCTTCCGTTATGCCGAGATGGGGCAGATCCGTCACAGAGACCTGACAAAGAACGAAATTGTCGTTGAGCACACGGGGGTTTGCCGTGAGCAATGTGCTGGACCTTCGCAGAGGCTGCTCGACAACGATTGGCAACTGCGGCGGAAAGACCACGTATCCTCGCCGAGAGACTCGGACAGGTGAAGTCAGTCTGACAAACGGATTCGGGGAATGACCCTCCGGCGTATTTACAGA